TGATATATTGTTGAAACAAGGACAAGACAGGTTAGATATGTAACTGATCTACTGTTGAAACGAGGACAAGACAGGTTAGACATGTAGCTGATCTACTGTTGAAACAAGGACAAGACAGGTTAGACATGTAACCGATCTACTGTTGAAACGAGGACAAGACAGGTAACTGATATATTGTTGAAACGAGGACAAGACAGGTTAGATATGTAACTGATCTATTGCTGAAACGAGGACAAGACAGGTAACTGATATATTGTTGAAATGAGGACAAGACAGGTTAGATATGTAACTGATCTACTGTTGAAACAAGGACAAGACAGGTTAGATATGTAACCAATCTACTGTTGAAACGAGGACAAGACAGGTAACTGATATATTGTTGAAATGAGGACAAGACAGGTTAGATATGTAACTGATCTACTGTTGAAACGAGGACAAGACAGGTAACTGATATATTGTTGAAATGAGGACAAGACAGGTTAGACATGTAACCGATCTACTGTTGAAACAAGGACAAGACAGGTTAGATATGTAACCAATCTACTGTTGAAACGAGGACAAGACAGGTAACTGATATATTGTTGGAACCTGTCTTGTCCTCATTTCAATAGATCAGCTACATATCTTATCTAACCTGCCTTGTCCTTGTTTCAATAATAGATCAGTTACATATCTAACCTGTCTTGTCCTCGTTTCAAGTCTAACCTGTCTTGTCCTCGTTTCAACAGTAGATCAGCTACATGTCTAACCTGTCTTGTCCTTGTTTCAACAATAGATCAGCTACATATCTAACCTGCCTTGTCCTCGTTTCAACAATAGATCAGCTACATATCTAACCTGCCTTGTCCTTGTTTCAACAATAGATCAGCTACATATCTAACCTGCCTTGTCCTTGTTTCAATAATAGATCAGTTACATATCTAACCTGTCTTGTCCTTGTTTCAATAATAGATCAGTTACATTACATTATCTAACCTGTCTTGTCCTCGTTTCAACAGTAGATCGGTTACCTGTCTAACCTGTCTTGTCCTCGTTTCAACAGTAGATCAGTTACCTGTCTAACCTGTCTTGTCCTCGTTTCAACAGTAGATCAGCTACATCCGATCTACTGTTGAAACGAGGATAAGACAGGTAACCTATCTACTGTTGAAACGAGGACAAGACAGGTTAGATATGTAACTGATCTGTTATTGAAAATGTCATTTTAACTTAGTCTTGGTTATAAGAAACCCTTTTATCTTGTTGATAACTTCATATAAAGTGTACATGTTATTAAAACAGAGAAGTAACTTTGATTTTGACATTCCTCAGAAAGTGAGTTTCTATGTATGTAACAAAACTGTTATATACACATTTTATTTAAAGTGAGGATCGTACAGAGAATGTAACTTGGCTTATTATGATCATAGGTCAGTACTATCACAAATAATAAATTTTCTTTTGGTACAAGACTAACAACCAAAGTTTGCATTCGTTCTGTAATGCTAGATGAGATTCTATGTTTGGATTATCAATCTTTATAAATTTATTACAGTTCAGAAATGTTGTCATCCTGTATGTGTGGGGGGTACTTTTTAATCTTAAATCCTTTGTCCAACATTGAGACTTCCCCCCCCTCTCTTTCCTAATGCTCAGCAAAGTCCATTAGTATGTTATAAACAAGAGCAAACAAAACTTGTGTCCAACATTGAGCCCCCCTCCCCCTGACGTTGCAGAAGTAAAAAAGACGATTATTCTTAGTGTCTATATTTTTACGTCTTTTCAATTTTCACTAATACCTTTTTTTTTCTTGTAGAGAAAAGAGAAAATATGATAGACAGAAAGAAAGGTAAGTTTTAGTAGTTTTATTTGAATTTTATACTAATGGTGATGTATTGTTTAACTACATTATTTTAGTAATAAAATGGTTGTCTTATACCTCAATGAAACTCAAGCTGGGGTAAACTGTGTACAGGCTCTAATTATTGATATATTTTAACAAGTAAGATTCTGCTGTCTACCATTAAGGTTCAAGGCCCTTGTTTGGAGATGTTTTTCTGTTGCATCGCAGTCTGAACCCTTTATATTACCAAAATACAGGGAAGCGCAGTCTGAACCCTTTATATTACCAAAATACAAGGTAGCGCAGTGT